TGCATAAAACGCAAGCTGGGAGAGCCACGGGGCAAGCTAGAAGCAGCTCTCCTCCACGGCCTCTGCTTCAGTTCCTGCCCTGGCTTCCCTCAGGGATGGACTGTGACCTGAACGTGTAAACCACGTAGACCCCTTCTTCCCCAAGGTGCTTTTTAGTCAGAATGCCTTGTCACAGCAATAGAGCACAAACTAGGAGATCAAGCAGTCTGACACCGTCCAGCTCCCACACTTCCCTAAGGCCCAGACACAATCATCAAACCCACCCAATGCCGCCACTGATGCTGGGGCCCACCGCCACCACCGCCGCCACTCTGCACCTCTCCAATCACCAGCTGGAAGATCAATCCAAGTCGAATCACTCTGCCCCATCCCATCCCTTTAGTGTCCCTCATTTCACCCAGAGAAAGTCAGCATCGTAAAATGGCCGGTAAGACCCCATGTGAGCCGGGCTGTGTCACCTCGCCTCCTAGCTATAACAGATCCCTCCCGCTTACACCCTGCTCCGCCACAGTCCTTCCGCTCGAGGAGCTGGCACGTCCTCACAGGCCTTGGGCCTTCCTGCTTGCTGTGCACTTGGTCAGCTAGCCTCCCCCTCTATGCCACCTTTATCACACATATACATCGCATCACTGCAAACCCCAAACGGCAGACGTATCCTGTCACCCAGACACTTGGCAGAACCTTGAATATAGCTGGGGCTCAGTAAGGTCAGACAAACCGTGGTTAATCTTGCTTGCCCAGAGAGAAACCACCCTTTCCTGACTCATACATTCTCCAAACCTCCCAGCAAGTGAGTGGAGCTTGTACTGTTGCAAACCCAGGTGTCAAGGTGGTGGGAGACGGACAGTAAGCAAGAGCATGCAAAAGACAACAAACTAGAGGGGTCAGTAACAGGGACGGAGCCGAGATCTGAGGGCGGGGTTGGGGCAGCTTCTCTGTGGTAGTAAACAACAAAGCAAAACTCTCAACAGGGAACCAGCCATGGAGAAAATGAAGGAAGATTATTCCAGGTCGAGGGTAGAGCAAGTGCAAAAGCCACGCAAAGGAATGAGTTTGACGTCTGAGGACCGAGGATGACCTCCTGTTGAACAGGTTTGACTGGGTGGGGAGTGTGTTGGGGCAGGGCCAGGTCAGAAAGGCAGTAGGGGTCAATTATGCAGGACTCTGTAAGCCAGAAAAAGGAGTTGCTCTTCACCGCTTACAAGTGCCCCGGGGAATTACAGCATGTTTGGAATGTGCTTCAAGAGTGCCCCCTACCTGTGCTGTGGGGAATGACAACTGCAGGGGTAAAAGTGGAAGCCAAGAGGCTACTTGGGGTCTACCTGGAGGGGTCGAGGGGGATGGGGAGAGGTGAGTGGACCTAGAGATAGAGTCCAAAGGCAGAGGAAGAGAGGGCCCAAAGGTGACTTCTAGGGATATGCAGATACTACGGAATCCTGGCGAGGAAAGATGTAGAAAGGAACCAGGGATAGTGGGAGCAATGCAGATAAAGGTCAGACCACGCTCTCCTCCGTCCAAGGCTGTAAACCACGTGACATTGTTCTTCCCTCCCAGCTCTGCCCAAGCCCTGCTTCCAGTTTCGGGGTGGGGGAAGTGGGGGTGGGGCGGGGTCTTGTCAACTAAAGCAGCAGCTCTCGATTGAAAGGAACAAAGGGATGGTTCCTTCCAGAATTGAATGTGAGTAACCACAGCCCAAGAACGATCCAGGTCTCCCCAAATAACATGCTCCAAAGAGGCAGCGAGCCTATGAACTGTTTATAGCTACAGGAGCAGAGAAAGTCGTAAAGTAACACACTTTTCAAATACATTGGGAACATCAGGTCACAGGGACACACAGGACAGACTCTGCTATGGGCTTCGGAAATACCCCATAGTACCCTTAGCCCTTTGGCTGGTGGGAACTAGGATTCTGTTCATATGTCCCAAATGGTCACAAAAAATGTTAGGTCACATATAGAGGAGAGCAATAAATGGCTGTTGACAAGGCTAAAGATGAACCAAGATAATCAGGCTCTGGACTTGCAACATTCCAACCTCTCCGCACCACTGAGGTTCCATTCAGCCAACCAGCCTTGGCCACCACAGCTTCTTTCTAGGAACTGTAGAAATAGTTCACAGTGTCGTGTAACCAAGGCTGGCCTTGGGCTTATTACAGAGCCAAGGACGCCTCTGGGCTTCCGACCCTCTTGCTGTATTTCCTGAGTTGTGAGGCTGCAAGTACATACCACCAAACTGTGTTTATTCGGTGTGGGGATTAAACCTAAGATTTCCTACATGCTAAGTGAGCACTCTGACCCCAGCCCTGTCTAAGAAGTCCCAAGAGACATGTACCTGCTCCATGAGACAGAGGACAACATCCCTATGGCTACACCGTATCTCTAGTAAAGTGTCCTCTCTCCATTCCATCATCAGCAAGGATCTTTCTAGGAGGGGCCGAGCTTTGGAACTAGGCTGGAAAGCAGCCAATGGACGGCATCCCCCTCTTTCGTGTGAGAGACCCCAAGAGGCTTCACTGTAGAGCAGGGGTAAGCGCTTAACCTGACCCCGATTCTGCATGTACCCAGAGCCATCACCAGATTGGCATTTTAGGTTTCTCTTTACAAAAGCCACCATGCAGAACATGAAGGCACACATGTAAAGTTTTGGGCACGGAGCACTCGATGAGTAACAGTGGCTAGCACCTCAGGAGTACTTTCTCTGTTGTAGGCAGTGATTTAACCACATACCAACTGATCCAGTCTTCATGCCTGCCACGTAGGTGTGTGTTAGGGTTTTACAGAGAAACAGCCGACATGATGTGAAAAATTATGAGAAAAATTATGTTTGAAATCGTCTCCTATGACTGTGGAAGCTTGGTGAGCACCAAGTCTGTGATGAGGGATGATAGGCGGGGGCCTGGGAACCAGCTATCCGTCAAGTCCAACAAGCTACAGCAGAGCTTGTGTGTGTATGTGTGTGTTCCATTAAGGCCTTCAATTGATTGGATAAGGCCACCCACATTAGAAAGGGTGATTGGATTTATTCAGGGTTCACTGATTTAAATGTTAATTTCATTAAACAACATCATAGAAACACACAAATTAAGGCCTGGCCAAGCACCATAGTCCACCTAAGGACATACAAAGATAATGATATAAAGAGAAATAGTCAACCACCACAAAGTGGATGTAAATATCCCTAATTTACAAAGACAGAATAGGTCCTGGGAGGGAGAAGGCTCCCCGTGAGTCACAGGGGAAGAGAACCTGGCTCAGAATGCCTGGCTCCAGCCTGCCATTTTAACCGTGACACTAAGTGGCCATTACCATAAGCATACGAATGTAGATTAAATTTCCTCATCCATCCTTTTCCTGGGTGGAGATGGAAGGCAGAGAAACTGAGGAGGCAGCCTGGGTGGAGCATGGGGGGCAGGCCCCCCAACTTAAACATGAGGACACAAGGATAACGGGTATCCACTTCTGCTATAGTATCATATAGATACTGTATAGATTAAACATATATTATTACATAGTATTATAGTTTCATTATGCTCTATATTACACGAGACAGGCATTCTCATCATTATTGTTGTAACTATAATGACGAAACTGCAACAAGAAACTTCCCAAAGCCAAACAGGAGTTGAGCATTAACTAGCGCACTAGACTTGAGTTTCCCGGCAAGTGTCTTAGTTATCACAACCCCAGTTTTGTCCCTGCAGCCCAGTTCTCCCTTTGGGCTCTGGCTGGCTGTGTCCATGACAAAACTTTTCAGGCCCCTCACTCAGCTTTTTGACAAAAGGAAATGCCCTTCTGCTGCAGTGCATACTGAGATACCCGGGCACAGCTGTCAGTCATGTGTACACAAACATCCTACCCCACAACCAAGTACACAAGCATGATTGAACAGACTTCAGCTTATAGCACAGTTATCTGCAGGACCACCCATGTCTGCAGCCAAACACGTGGCCTCCCACACGCAGACACAAGACAGCATTTGCACACACAACACATCCAAACCTATATTTACAAGGACACAGAATACAATTACTCCCATCTCAATTCCCACCCATCGTGGCGGCACACAAGCCTCTACTTGGTCCACAGGACCCCAACCCCGCCCCCTCAATAAGATATAGGGGCCTTGAACACATTCCCAACGGCCAGACTCTCTTCAGGAGACTGTGCATGGTGCTCCACCACGGCACATACAGGAAACACACCTGTCAACACAGCTCGCTCTTGTCTGCCCCAACCCCGCACCCCAAAACTCACCACACTAACTTTAAAAGATCACCCTCCCCCAACTAACTACACCCCGCCCACACCCAGGCGGTGTGCCATTTGGGAGAGCCTCCCCCACCCAGAAAGAATCTTCTTTAACCGTCCGGCAGCGCCAGTGCCAGAAGACAACCTCGCTCTTGCTTGGAAAGCACCTACACCTGCTGCCCCCACCCCACCCCACCCCACGTCTCTGCAAGCCACTCTGGGCTGCAGCGGACCCCCACAACCCTGGGCACCGCAAGCTCAGAGCTGGGGGAGGGTTCGGGTCTGTGGTTTCGTGCAGCAAACCCAAGTCTCTCAAGAGCAACCCCTTCTCAGTCCCCTCTCACTTTCCCACGCAGAAGACCCTGCGTATCCACAAACTTCCACCGCAGCGCAGCGCAGCGCAGCGCAAGAGGAAGCCACAGCGGTAACCAGCAGGGGCTCCTTCAGCTGGGGTGCAGGATCTGGCTGCAGATGCTGCAGGGTCTTAGACCCTTCCCGGGACACCCCCTACCCCAATACACTCCTACTTGCATCCAAGAGTCAGAGGGACTAAGGACAATGAAGGTGTGAGTGGCAGAGAACTTAGGAGGTCAAGGGACGGGAAGGGGCAATGGCTGTGTCCCCTGGCAGGCAGGACCACAGTGCCGCAGGCCAGGGAGACATTCCTCCCTCCCCCGAAAGTCCTGCGTAGGATCAGAGGGACGCGTGCATGCAGCTGGGAGGAGGAAAAGAAAAGCGCCGAGACTCCCTTACCTGATTTCCTCTTGGAACTGCCATAATCTCTGAAAAAGAAACAACAACAAATAGACATGGTTAGGGCGGACGGGGAGCAAGGGGCTGCAGCTATGGGGGCGCCGGCGCGATCAGCCTCCTTGCCCCGCCCTGCCGCTCCGCAGCCCGCACCCTGACCGCGCCCCAGCCTGTCCAAACAGCCCCACCTTTTCCTAATCCTCAATACATCCCAGAGAACTATCAGATTCCAGTGCGCTTGCAAAACAGGGAAACTGAGGCTACCGGAGGGTGGGTGATCGCCAGAACCCAGGCTCACCCCTGGAACACCCCACCTCCCAATTCTTTGCGTTGCTAGCCCAGTAGCGACTTCCTCAGCATGCTCTCATTCCTGCAATTAGTTTGTTTGACCCTTTGATTCAATGGTGTCCTTCCTCACCCACCCCAGGCTTCCTCAAGGCACACCAGAGGCTTTAAACCACTCCATCTTTGGGGACTGACACCAGGGATAGGCAAACATTGCCTGCAGGAACGATATTTAACACCTGCAGTTCTTGTTCTTTAAAGGCTAAGGCTGACACAGGGCCTCCTCTTTAGAGCACTCTGCAGGGTACCTAGGACGCTGGGAGTGGTATGGGTTCTGATCCAAGTCACTTAAAATAACTGTTGGTATCCGTAGGTATACAGCCCCTCCCATCTTCCTCCCACCTGCCCTGAATGGACAGCTTGGAGTCTGCCCAGGTCTGCCCTCAGGGCTCCCCTAGACCTAGACTCGGGCAGAGGCAGACTCCCTGAAGCTGGCTGCTCCTACTGTACCCTCCACTCCCACAACTTTCCCCAGTTACATGGAATTCCTAAAACTTGAATTCTGTTCATGCTCACGGAACAGCACAGGAGCCAGCTTGCCAGCTTGGGGCTTATCTGGAGATAAAAGGACTGCCCTCCTAGTCCCTGGGGACCAAAGAAAATGCCACTTGCTACCTATTTTTGGCCAAGCAAACTAGCTAGCTGGATCTACTCCCTGGAGGAGGGTCTTATCTGAGAAGGGCGGGCAGACAGCCTGTAGGGAGGAGACTCTGAGATTCAGATCCTTGAGGTCCGGAGGGCGTGGCCTTAGACATCAGGAAAGGTGATTGGCCTACACAGCCAAGGATGCAGGCCGTGTTCACCGCTCCATCTCCCAACGTTCAGGCAGGGCCTGGAAAGCTGAGCTTCTTGTTAGGTATTGAGACAGCCTCACCATGTAGCCCAGGCTGGCCTTGAACTTTTGCTTGCCTCTACCTCCTGAATGCTAGAACGAATGACATGTGTCTCCCCTCCTTGTCTGGGTCGAGAGCCCCACTTTGCAGATGAGGCTCATTCATTGTCCAGTGACACCCACTGTGAGGAAGGGCTTGTGGCTCCTAAGTCCCTGGGAAGACTACACTCTGCAGGGCCTGTGGGGCAGAGGTTGCACTGTCAGGAAGGGTGGAGAGCAGAGCTTGATGACGGATTTGTATTCCACCACTCACTCGGAAGAGGGAGGGCTCTCATCCTGCTCCCTTGATGTGCTGCTTAGTTTGATGTCAACTTGACATGAGATAGAATCGCCAGAGAGGAGGAAGCCTCAACTGAGACCATGCCTCCCATAAGATAAGGTGCAGGAAGTCTGTAGGGCATGCTCTTAATTAGTGACTGCTGGGGGAGGGCCCAGCATTGTGGGTGGGGCCATATCTGGGAGGATGGTCCTGGGTTCTATAACAAAGCAGCCTGAGCAAGCCATGAGAAGCAAGGCAGTAAGTGGCACCCCTCCACGGCCTCTGCATCAGCTCCTGCCTTCAGGATCCTGCCCTATTTGAGTTCCTGTCCTGACTTCCTCCAATGATGAACAGTGATGTGCAAGTCTCTGTTAAAATATCCCCCCCCCCCCCGCTGCCAATTTGCTCATGGAGTTTCATCACAGCAATAGTACCCAAACTAGGACGCTTGCTGATGCGAGAAGGAAGGCTGGCAGAGGCTGAGCCCTAGCCTGTCTCCCAGTACCCACTTGATGATCAGGTGTGGGGAAAACGCCCAGTTAGGTAGAGGATTATTATGTAATGACTGTTTCCCACCCAGAGGAGGAATTCTTTTTCCAAGATTTTCCACTGAGGCTGACCAAGGGGAAGGGTTAGGGTTAGGCTGGCAATTCAGAGCCACCATCTTCCCAAAGGGCTTGCAGAGTTCAGGAACTCCACAATGTTCTAGCCACTCCCAAGGCTGCCAGTGGCCAAGCAGGGGTGTCGTCCTCACTTCACTGGCTACCTTCTCCATGCTGAAGGCTGCTTCAGTTTGTCTTTGAGCTGGTTCACAGCCCTTGTCGGGAGGCAGGCAAGCTGTCCCCAGGGGACAGGGGAACCAAGGAATGAGAACCACACTGGTGAGGCTCAGGATGACCATTCAATAGAATCATCTAGAAAGCTGGCTAGAAACCCAGGGTGGAGCCAACCACACCGACTTGGTTGTCTGTTTCCAACAAGCTTCCTTGGGATTCTGAGGCTGGGCCAGGGTTGCCTAAGCAGCACCAGGCCCCAGGCACTCCTAAGGGAGCAATGTGCTCAGATTTCCCAAAAGGCTCCAGATAGAACCTCTGATCTTGTCCCTCCATCAGAGACTGCAGCCCTCCAACCAGGGTTCCTAGATCTTTCTCCGTGTCAGTGCTATGTTTTCTCCTGGGTGAGAAGGGTGAGGCTTATAGATACTTCCTTGTCCAAAATCAGTCAATCAGTGGCTGTGGTTGGGTTGGGCTCCAAACCGGGAACCCTGGCTTAGCTCTGAGGCTACACACAAACTCTCAAGTCCCACCCTCCTGGAGCTGTGGGTGCAGGAGTAGAAGGCAACCTGAGGCCTGACAAACACGTGGATCTTGACAGTGGGGCAGCTGGGCCGAGACTGAATGGAAGGGTGGCAGTTGGAGGAATCCATAAGGTGCTGGCCCCCAGCCCAGGGAGGCACTAGCCTAATAGGAAATTCTTGGAGGCTTCCGGTCGGGCACCTTGCAGCAAAGCCATTTGGTATTTTTAGCTGCTGGATGTGCTGAGAAGCAGCTTAGGTATCTGGGACTCCCCCATCCCTCACATACCCGGCTATGAAAAGGCAGAGCTCCCCGACCTCAGGCACACCCACCTCTCACAGCCCTTCAATCAATTCTGGCCTGACATGATGGGGGGCACCCTCTGTTGGGGGTCCAACAAGTCAAATTCCCTCCTCACTCAACTGTAGTCTTGGTGATGACAGTTGCTGGCCTGACAAGGCTCCACTCCCTGGAAGTCACAGCCTGCCTCTGACCTGCTGCTGAATCCCTAAGTCCCAGGGAGCCACAGGAAGGAGCGGAGGAGGGAGGGCGAGGCTAGCATCTATCTCCCTGCCATGATGCCAGAAGCTAATGTAATTGGAAAGGCCTCCCAGGCTCCATCAGGCTGTTCAGCCTTTTAGCTGGCCAGGGGTGACTAAGACAACAGGCACCAACTGTACTAAGAAAATTGGAACATGGGACTTGTGGGGAGCAAACTGGGACTAGTGTTTCCTTATGGTCTACAGCTTGGACTGTAGGAGAGAAGGCTGAGGTCCCCCAGAGGCACACTGTGTATCTCTGGACCCTTCCTGAGAAGATGCAATTGAGGCCGAAGCCTCTGGTTCTAAACTAGGCTGCTTGCTGCAGTGGTGACCCTGAACTACCTCAGCCCTGAGCTTTACAGCCAGTCACAGGATGAGGACAGTCACAGCCAGTCACAGAAACAACTCTCGGCTTTGGGGGAGGATGCAGTATTCGGTGTTGTTGTACAGGACTGTTCTGGAAGCCAAACTGCAGCCATCTTTGGGAGTTCAGCTGTTGATGGTTTACATCCCTCATGAAAGGTGGGCAGGGCCATGAGACTGTCCTCTGAGTGTCTGACTGTTCCATACCTCCTGCTGTGTACAGCTCTGTCCTAACTGCACAGGGCCCGAGGGAGGAGCTTGAAGATATAGGCAGGTGAAGACTAGGGGAAGGGTCTCCATCTACGTGGCCATGGGAACACCATCACCCCTGTTGGGTAAAGACATTCTGGTGTGACCTTTGGGGGGCACCCACACTCCAGAAAGTAACCCTCAACCTATGCTTTGTAAGTAACCCCAATAAATGCACTGGTGCCCTAGAGTGAACTCTGTCATCTGAACCCTAGGGGTAGAGATAGGCAGGACTTATGCCTATCCCTGGGGAGGAATTTAAGCAGCAAGTGTGCTGGAAAAGGAATGGCCTTGTGATAGTGTTAATTGCTGACTTGACAGACTAGAGATTGTCCAGGAGGCCAGCCTCCAGGCACACCTTTAAGTTCTAGCCAGATGGCAAAGACTCTTCTACACTTGGGATGCTTGGCGCAGGGCGATGGCTCAGCAGGCAAAGGGGCTTGCTGCCAATCCAGAGGACCAAGTTTGACTCCAGGGACCCACATGGTAGAAGGAGAGAAATGGCTACCAAAAGGTGTCCTGATTTTATGCTGTAGCATCACATACAGAGAGTCACACACACTAAAATTTAATAAATGTTTTTTAAAAAGTCTTTAAAACTCGGGTGCTGATGAGCCCATGAATATATGTCACTATTGAGCTGTATTTTCCAGCCCAAGGCCCGTCCCCTCTTTTTTTGAATACATGACTCATCTGGCAGGTTATATTTTTAGGGTGACTCATGGAATGGGCATATTCCACTAGGATTGTCTATTGGGGAGCTTTTTCTTTCTTTCTTTTTTTTTTTTTTTTAAAGATGGTCTCCATACAGAGCCCAAGCTGGTTTTGAACTGGAAATTCTCCTGCCTTGGACTTCTGAGCCCTGGGATTTAGGTATGCATCAGTATGTGAGGCTTCAGCTTCTCTTTCTTCTTCCCTTTGACCTCTCTAGGTGAGGCCTGTGCTCTTCCTTGGGCATCCCAGAGAAACATCTGGTATTAGTGGTAGCAAGGATGGAGAGGCTGGAGTGAAGGGCGGGATGGGGGGATTTGCCTCTTTGTGTTAGCTGCCTGCTTCTGCACCTCAGTCCTGTGATGGTTAGTGTGAA